GATTCAGAGGAAATTTACTTGCAGTTGCACTAACTGAACACTGAATTGACCTCAATGGAGCATGGCAGCAGAGAGCACTCTAGAGGCTAATATGCAGTTCCACCATAGAAACCAATGCATTAAAGAGATATGTACGTTTTAGTAGCTGTCCACTCCAGTGACCACTATGCATCAGAGGGTTAAAGTGGACAACTGTACCTGTTCTGAATACTGAAGTTAGGCAAAAATAAACACACATCATTTACAGCATACCGAAGAAACTTACTTCTATATAACATGTGCAACTTCCTTTTATTTCACGTCATTAACACTCACATGTTAAAAAGCTTCGTACTTCGTACGTAAATCTCAGTTATACTTAAGCGATAAAACATATTTTTATCAAAAACTTCATATAAAATAGTAAAGTGTGTGGGAGTGCAAACCTTCACAATGAAAAGAAAATAAATCTATATGCATGGCTTTCCTGCAAGACAATGCTCTGGAGCATATGGGGGCCCACAATACCAAAACATTACCGTTATGTTTCTGCCAGCGGCCTGCGTAGCCTGACCCCGCTGTCTGAGACTGATGCGGGTTCACGCACGGCTGCTCGTAAGTGTTACAAATACAGTTATACTTCTTTACAACTTAGCATGGAGATGAACCCTTGATATGTAACAGACAGTGGTAGCTAACACACAAATAGCGCACACACTGCTATGCCTGCGACCCCCATTCTCGATGTCCACCAGGGCTGGACTGGGACAAAAAAATCGGCCCGGGCAATTTGACTACAGACCGGCCCACCAGGAATTATAGGAAAAACCATAAATCCTTTGAATGAAAACAAATGCTGTTGTCACAGTGATGTACACTGTCTTGTTGGTATATATGCATCAGTCTAATAAACGTAAACCTACACCATCCTCCCTATTCTGGTATTCTAAACAGTACTTAGCCAAAACCCAAAGACTGCTTGGTCGAGTTAACCTCCTGAACTATCTACAACACATGGTGGAAACCTGAAATTAAGACAAAGAAGACTAGAGGTGAGACATGATCATTACTGAATATTAAAAATAATAAATGACAGACTTAGTGATATTTTCATAAACTATTCATTTACCACATCAATAAACAGCATGGCAGGGCAACATATTTTTTCTAACATGGCAACCTTTAAAAAGTGAAAGGAGACAGAAAGACAGGTGAGAAAGAATAAAACTTAATTGACTTTTTGATGGCATTTTACACACAGTACTGGTACAGAATCTACAAAATGTGGGAAAATACTGGCATCATATACAGTACTTTCTGAAGAAATTATGATGGGACCCTGAAAAAAATACTATGTACAATAATGGGTTTCTAATAATTTTACATCAGATGAAAATGTTCGTTGTAAGATTCAGATAATTATTTAATAAAAGCTGAACATTTTAAATGAGAATAAGGAAGAAGAGTATTTCTTTGTGCCCCCCCTCTCCCTGTTAATGGCCTACCTGGCCCACTGGCAACACTTTGCTAGACCCGCCCCTGCACAGTTACCAGCTGTCAGCTACATAAAAAAAAGGATCCTGGTGTTATTTGTCTCTCAGAAACAGTTCATAACGTCCCTTCAACTCATTCATGTCACCTAAAAGGTAAACCTGTTTCTCCA